TGGATTTGAACCTGAGATCTCCTAGTACTTTTGACATTTGGAGCCAAGTAAGGAGATAAAAATCTAATCTTCTAGAAAAGATACTAATCAACTAAATAACCTAACTTAATAAGGATTTTTTTTATAAAAATCTAATCTTCTAGAAAAGATAATAAAATAAATTCAATACCTCTTGATCACTTAATTTAACGGTCTTTATTGAATATAACGATCTTATCTTGTGCTGCAAGTGTTGTATTGTTGTTGCTACACACAGTTGGACATAAGTCCAACTCTACCTTTACTGTACCCACATCAAAATTCTTTGGCCGGAAAAGAAAAAGGTGGATGACGGTGGTTCTGGTTCTCAAAATTCTTAATTTACTCTGTACAAAATAAATTAAATTACATTTTTCGTCCTTACATTATGGTCATTTTAACGAATCTTATCATTATTTTGAAAGATTAACAAGCTAAGTCCATGTGGTTGTATTTATTCAAGGACTTGACTCGTTAAAAACCTGTAACGATATCACCCAACCCATCGAAAAACTGCAATCACAAAGACCCAGTTCATTTAGAAAACACACAGACACAAAAATACGTTACATCAATTTTTCAAAACAAAGGGCAAGACTCGTTAAAAACACCAAATCAAAGGGACCAAAAATGTAACATTTGAAGGATTTAATAATACAAAAAAGTGGATATTTTTGGGGGTAGTATTTACCCAATTTGATGACATCTGTTTCTGGCAAAGAAACAGAGTACTTGGTGTGTATGGATGGTAGTGCTGAAACCTATGCATTTCCTGATTTGAATGCCACATCAACTCTGTTTTCCAGATCTTCTATCAAAACCTTATATTTAACCAAAAAATCTCGTGAATAAATTATTATAATATTAAAAATTCATTTATCTATAATATCTTATAAAACAAATTTAACAAAAGTCTTAAAATTCTAAATGACCAAAATACCTTTTATACTCACTTTTTTACCACCTCCTCCCTTCACATACATTCACACTCTCATAACGATTTTTTTTAAATTATAATTTTAAATTTACACTTTATACCCCTATAATTAATTAATTAATTTACTTTACGTTCTTTACTTTTAAATGTTTCATTTTAAACATTTATCAAATTAACATACATAATCGTATATCAATTAAAACATGTTTAAAAAATACATTTTTATTTTAACAAGTTACATCATTATAATCGTCTCGTTAATACCTTCGAAATGAGTCCAATATTGAATAGTTTTTKACTWMATTATATTATTATATATTATATWTACTGTGAMAAAATATTTTTAATATTTACGATTTACGATTTATACTTTTATAGTTATTGATTTATATATATACTATATATTTTGGGATTAGGCTATCCAAATTGCACTGTATAATATTTTTGAATTAATATGTTCTTGGGTTTTTTGAAATATATATATACATGTATTAATTCAACTTTAATTTGAGTTTCTGGACAAGAAAGAGGGTAAGCAGTTGAAATTTCATTCTAAACCCCATATTTTTTTGTCTTTTCATAGCTTATGATCTGTCAAATTTGTAGTTTTCTTTCTTGGTTTTGAGTGTTTATCTTAAAACTCAAGTTTCTTGGTTCTTTGCTCTTGATGTAAAACGAATACATTTGTGGAGTCGTTTGAATATGTTGGATTTTAAATATATTGGATTTTTAACCGTCATACAATTTTTTTCATCGATAGTCTGTAATTGGAACCATAACTCTTATTTATTCAAATTGTATKAATATGTAAAGACCAAGTGTAACATATATCATCGTTAAATCTTATCTTATAAAACCAGTGGAACTTCAAAATCGTTAAAATTCATGGCTCCCGCCGCATTGCGCGGATACACAACTAGTTTTCTTAAAAAAAGGAATTTATAGTTATTAAAAGAAATTATTCATTTTTTATGAAATGTTTGTATATCTGTTGGAGATGTTCTAAGTATTTATGACAAGTTATTATTCTCGGCCATTAAAATTGATTGTTGGTGAATGTTTTTTATTCGATAAGTGTTAATTGGATAAAGAGGTTTTTCGTAGAAGTGTTCATCTAAAACGCCAAACTGTAGAAATCATTCACACCGCACTGCAAAATACGGTTTAGAACTTTCACGGTGTGGTTTGTATTTTTACCAAACCGCACAAAACGTTCACACCGCACGGCAAAACACGGGTTAGAACTTTTGTGGTGCGGTTTGTATTTTTACCAAATTGCACTATGCGGTGTTGTTTGTGGTTTTGAGTTATGAAACTGTGATTCAAACCGCACCGTGCCACATATTTTGTATTTTTTAAATTATATATATATATATATATATATATATATATATTAGTATTTATATATGTAATATTTTTGGACTTCGTGTTTTGAACTTTTAGTTTGATCCAATTGGCAATATTAATAAATAACTTAATAGTTTTGTACTATTTTTAATTATACAATATGTATTTGGGAATAAAATGTAATGAGATTTTTTAATTTTTTGAAAGTACGGGTTATCATTGACTTTATAATATATTTTTTAACTTATAATAATTGAATTATAGGCATAAAGTGCGATAGGGATAAACCGCATATGCGGTGCGGTTTCGCACCAAACTGCACCGCGAATACCCCTAGTTGGTAAACTAATGAGACGACTTTACCCGAATATAAGACATGTCACGAGTTCGACACCCTCCCAACTAGTCTAAGATGATGAGTGAGCCAAAAATGGCCTTCATAATGTCCCTGAAGACGAGCTTCGTGTGGGGCCGATTGAAATTATAGGTAGTCAGCCTTTTCTCCTAATATGCTTTAATGTCTTTAAAAGAAAACAAATTAACAATCTAAAAATAATAAATATACATTAATAATACTATTAAATCAAAATTCTATGGTGTTAATTATATATCATTAATGTTATTTGATATGAATTTATAAATAGTTTTATCTTTTATAGATGACAATATTTTCATTATAATTAATTATATATTTGATATATTAAAAACTTTTTCAACTAAATAATAATAAACAATTTAAAATATGATAATTGCCGCATTATTTTAATGAAACTGGAAATGAGAGTCAATAATTTTTATTTTATTAGATATAGTCAAACGTTATAATTTAATAGGACCGCATTTATATATAAAAGGTGTTTGGGATTGCTTATTTGAAACAACTTATATTTTTCTACAAAAGTCTTTATCAACTTATTATAAGTTATAATGGTTTAACTTCTTCAAAAAACTATTCTTACCGGTTTGGTACCGGTATAAGCTGTTTATCCAAACACTAAAAAATGATTATTACCGGTACCACAACAGAATTAGTCAATAAATTGTTTTTATAAACAATCTCATACACCTCGATAATTCAGCTGGTAAAGAGGTTAGACAACTTTGTTTAAATACAAGGGATGTACAAGGTTCGACTCTAGGCCCCTACGAGTGCTAGCCTCAGTTGTTGATTGAGTAAAAAAATATCGCTTCACATTTGATGTCCTTAAAGATGGGTTTCGTGTGAAGCTGGCCAGGATGGCTGATTATCAACTTTTTAAAATACAATATTAATTTATTATACTTTGGATGGAGATTATGATGAATATATATATATATATATATATATATATTATATTGCAGGTAATCAAAATTATATAAGTTCATTAGGTGATTGTAAGATAGCTTAATAGGTAAAAACACTGAATTAAATAAGTGAACATAAATTGGTTTAATTTGGCATTTGTGTTTTTTTTTTGGTAAGTATAGGTTTTTGGGTTAGTTTATACGTACTGGTTAATCTCTTAAGTGATCATCAATAGCTTGAATTCATCGTAGATGAACTTTTTTTTTTGAAATATATAATATTTATATACAATAAATAGAACAAATAAACGTATTCACCATTCTCATCTTTGATAAGATTTGAAGTTTAAATCCCTGACTTCCTAAGAGGCCAAATGCTCACATACAAGACTATGACAACACTTGGATTCAAACAAAGGGAAGGTAGAAATTTCCACTGCATCGCCCTGAAGTTTAACAATGTGACACCCAAGTGGTTAACATGGGTTTCAATTTAAAGTTATATTGATATATGTTGATTAGCAATATATAAAATGATTTTATTTTGACTTTTAGTCAACTGTTGTAAAGTTATACCGAACCAACAATGAAATTAGGCCCACATATATGCTAATATTGTTACCCTCATGTGACCTTAACGCTACACATTTCTTCATGTTTTGATTTTATAAAAAAAACATAACATACACGATAGTAGTTATTAAGTTTGTAACGAATCTTTATAAATACTAACAATCTGATAATAAACATGCCCGCGAAATATATTTACGACATCAGTCTAACAAATAACAACTTAACGAGGTAGGCATCATTGTAAGACGAGCGGGAGGTGTTTCACTCTAGACACTGTTAACGCACATTTACTTCCCTCATGAGCATCATAAGACCATTACGCAGAACGTGTTACCAAAAGTGGTGTCATATACAAAAACATATCCAAGAATTTTTCAGAGCACTATCAAAAGTTCAACCATTCTTATTTTTAGTAAGATTACAATGTTTCATTTATTAACCACAAGGATGATGTCTGATTAGTTTGAGTTTAGGGTTCAAAGGTTAAAAGTGTTTGGAGACCTCAGGTTTGAATCTAAACAGAAATAAAAATCCTCTTATAATCACAGAGGCTCAAATACGATGACTCCAGACTACCGTACTCGGAGATTTAAAACAGAATTTAAGAATTGGGTTTTATAATGAGAATACTGAAATATACCAGAAGAAGTAAATTATGAGTGGCGGCCGACCATAACTAAAAGAGCACACTCCCAAAGCTTAGCTGAGATCGTGTAAAATCAACGGTCCAAGTTGATCAACTGCCATTTAATCCAACGGTTAATAGATCATACGCGTCATGAAGTAGGGCTTCCCCATGAATCCTTCCATAACCTCCTCTCTATCTCTCTCTTATCTCTTTTTCTCTCGAAACTTTCAGATTCGCCGTTTTCATTACAGAAACCTATACGTATACACACATAAATCCCTTTTTCAACTTTGTGATTTATTTTTTCGGTGATTAACTGTGTTCTTGAAGATGCAATCAAGTACCAACGGTGGTGGTTCTGATCCGCAGCAACAACAAACCACCCAGAACAATCAGCCTGCGGTGGTGGCAACCACGGCACCGCCGCCGCCAGCGGTTGTAGGGGTTGGGCCACAACAGCAACAGTGGGTGGCGATGCAGTATCCAGCCGCAGCGATGGTAATGCAGCATCAAATGATGGCGCCGTCTCCGGGACATTACCCGATGGCTCCACACTACATGCCGTACCATCCACACCACCTCCATCATCCGGTGGCGCAACAGCCGCAGCAGGGCTCAGGCGGCGGCGGTGCCGGCGGAGAGAACAGAACGATCTGGGTCGGTGACCTTCATAATTGGATGGATGAGGATTACCTGCGTAGCTGTTTTGCTTCCACCGGCGAGGTATTAATTGATTCAATCTTTAATTTATTGTAATTTACATTAATTTCCGATTTAATACACATTCCATAGCTGCTTCTATCATGTGCTAAATACGATTTGTTCTTAATTTAAGATGTATTCTTATTTGTTAAACATAAATTTTTTGAAATCTTTATTGATATTAATTTAATTACCTTCAATTTGGGTTGTAATCTTCATCGATATACATTGCCTGCCGGCCGGCCATCTTTGCTGACGGTACTGTTGGTGGACATAGCCGCCTTTGCTGATGGTGACGGCGGACCCCACCATCTTTGCCATCGGTGGCGGTGGTCACCGTCTGGAAGACATCTGTGTTGCATCAGACCACTAAATCATTCCCTTAATTATTTGGTAGTTTTGAAAATTAATGGTGTTATATATATTCATGTATATATCTTTTTGATCTGATAGAATTTAAGTTAGACAACACAACTATTTGTTCTTGTTAAGTGTACGTTTAGCACAAGGGACACGACAAAAACTTATTTTCTCATGGGACATCAAAACCAGACGGTAAATGACTGAACAGTACAAAAATGCACTTTGTCCCACCAAGAGAGCTGCAAGAAAGTTAAAAGGGAGATAATTAATAATTGGTAAATTACTAAACTACCTCATGTCATGTTAAAACCCTGCACGTGTTTCACGTGCCTATGATGTGACTCTCGACCGTCCAGTCCATTCCGTACAGTTGTACCAAACGCATCCTAAAAAGGGAACAAAGGGACAGATTATGTTGTTGTATTTGCAGCTAATTAAGTTAAACCTGATTGTTGTTGTCTTCACTTGTTGCAGGTTGCCTCCATTAAAGTTATTCGCAATAAGCAAACTGGTTTTTCGGAGGGATATGGATTTGTGGAGTTCTTTTCGCACGCTGCAGCCGAAAAGGTTTTGCAGACATATACATGCATTGCTATGCCTAATACAGAACAACCATTCCGATTGAACTGGGCCACATTTAGCATGGGAGATAAGCGTTCGAATAATGGTTCTGATCTTTCGATATTCGTAGGAGATTTAGCTGCGGATGTAACTGATACTTTATTGCATGAAACTTTTGCTAATAAATACCCATCCGTTAAAGCTGCTAAAGTTGTGATTGATGCCAATACCGGCCGCTCTAAAGGTTATGGTTTTGTAAGGTTTGGAGATGATAGTGAGAGGACTCAGGCCATGACTGAAATGAATGGCACATACTGCTCGAGCCGGCCCATGCGTATTGGTGCTGCTACCCCACGAAAATCGTCTGGTTACCAACAACAATATGGCTCACAAGGTATGTTCTTGTTTTATTTAGTTTGATTTGTTATTAAATTCTATACGAAAGAGGCATATAACACATTCAATGCACTACAACGAAATCGGATTTATAGAATGTCAAATATGTCTATATATCTTAACATGTTGTTTTATACGACTAGATAATTGTGAGCCCTATTTAAACGTGTTAACTGCTATGATATGATCGTTTTGGCTGAGCATCTTAAGAGGCTTTTAGGACACTTTTGAAATAAACTGTTATATTGGTCTTCTTATATGACCTACGGTGGTTTGGTCTTATTGTAACACCTTTATATATGACCTACAATTGTTTGGTCTTATGAACTGAAGTGTTATAAAGCAGTTTATGAGTACATATGTAGTAGTAACAGTCAATTAAGAAGCCCTGAGCCATGATGCACCAAGGTCTCCCTTTATCTATTGCTAAACCACTTTTGTAGAATACAAATGCAGCTCAATAAGACTTCATTTGCTCTTTGTAATTAGGTGGTTATATGTCGAATGGTGGTTCTCAATCTGATGGAGATTCTAACAACACTACGGTCAGTACGCTTTAAATCGTTTTTCAGTTAAAAGGAAACCATCTCTTGTTTTCTTTTACTTGTTGCTGACCCTTGATCGGTTGTAGATATTTGTGGGAGGGCTTGACCCTACTGTAAATGATGAGGATCTTAGGCAGCCCTTCTCCCAGTATGGTGAGATAGTTTCAGTGAAAATACCCATTGGAAAAGGATGTGGATTTGTACAATTCGCCAACAGGTATATACACACACACACATATATATATATATGTATGTATCTTTTTGTTTTTGATATGTTTGGTCCAGCGGTATCTGGTCACCAGTAAATCCTACTCTCCCAGGAGGTAAAAGGGTTTTTGTTTCTGATATATGTTTGGCCTAGTGGTATCCGTGTTACTGGTACGTGAATCCTAAATCCTAAAGGGGTTTTGTTTCAATATGTTTGGCCTACCGCGGTATCTGGGTTACTAGTAAATCCTTATCGTCTCCTCGGAGGTAAAGGGTTTTTGTTTTTGATATGTCTAACCTAGCGGTATCTGGGTTACTGGTAAATCCTAGTCTCCCTTGAGGTAAATGGTTCAGTTTTCACCAAAGATGAGGAGGGTGTGTGAGAATTTGTTGTGTATATATTATGTACTTTTAAGAAGTTACTATCTTCTGATGATCAGAAGGTCATTGGTATGAGTCATAGAAACGATGATCCAACCCTTGTAATTCTGAGCCTTGGTGCACCAAGGTGGTCGGTCCTAGATGTGTTATGGGTCGTTTTTGTGTTGCCTTTCTAACGTATATTGGCAGAAATAATGCCGAAGAGGCACTGCAGAAATTAAATGGCACGACAATTGGGAAGCAGACCGTGCGACTTTCTTGGGGTCGTAATCCAGCAAATAAGCAGGTACGCAGTCCTCTTGCTCCCGTGCATACACTTAACAAGCACACACTTTGCGTGATAGGCGTTGTAGCAAAATTCAGCTTTATAGGAATTCAAATATCTCTAAGTGTTATAAATAAAAACAGTCTATTAGGACATTTAGACATATAAAACCGATTTTGTTGCACATCCGATTCAGCACACTAATCATCTACATATGATGAAAATTTACAGATGAGAAATGAGTACGGAAACCAGTGGGGAGGAGCGTACTATGGAGGGCACATCTACGATGGATACGAGTATGCCATGACACCACCTCATGATCCAAGCATGTATGCTGCAGCATATGGGGCTTATCCTATGTATGGCATTCATCAACAACAAGTAAGCTAGCTAATATTATATCGAGCGATCGAGGCAGATGGATCAGAGCATCGATCGTAAAAATGGGCACAAATTTGTGTGTTCCATTTGTAGTAGTGTCCTCTTGGGAGTACTGTAGAATGCGCCCAACTCTTTCCTCCCTCTTAATATGGAGTGGTGGTTGAATTTTGACTACATGAGCTAGTTTCGTCGTAGGGTTTCAGTAAACATCGATCGGTCATGTGTTTGTTTTCGCACGTATCGTGTGGGATTTTAACTCTTTAAGACTTGGTATTAGTCGTAATAAACGAAATCACAAAATTTTATATGATGGTTTATTGGCTCGTATACGTATCTTTTGGTCAATCTTTTCGACCTTTAAACCGTTTGTCAACTATTCGGGTAGCCATTTCTCCATGCTCAACTTGTTGAATTGATTGCTATGTCGCTCTTACGGGTGTGATTGATTTCTTTATGCATATCAAAGGTGGTTTAATTTGAGGTTCGAGAAATGATTTCTTTTAGACAAGGTTCTAAATGACATGAAACATCATGCCCTGATAGCGAGGTCAAGTCTAAGGTGTTGGGAGCCACAAGAAGGCCACAACATTTTTCATGGGATGACTTGTGGCGGGCGTCTGGATATATATATATATATATATATATATATATACACACACATGTCTTTTATTATTATTCAGTGAGTCAATGACATCAAGTAATCATTAAAATGAGGTTATATATATAAAAAAATAAAAAATAAACAGTAAGACATTAAAAGGTTAGAATAATCAAATATCATATACTGGGCCATAGCGAGCCACATACTTAACATGGAGTGAGACACGAGTCTTGAGCCATGACGGTTGTCATGACAAATTGACAAGAATCTTACAAAGGTAAAACAAAACCCAATAGTTGGCAAATGAGACCCTACTTGCAACTAGTGAGCCATGGTTCACATAAAACCCTTCAATAATTGATTGCATAGGTGTAATAGAAAGTGACAATCAATAAATGTTTATGCAATAAATTGAAAGTAAAGTTTCAAAAAGCAACTTTACTTTTCTATCTATTTGAAGATTGTTCAGGATAAGGGCATTAGATGTTATTTGGTCAAAGGAATTGAACATTTTAATTCCATCAGATTTCGGCGGATTTCGACGAACCAAACGTCCCTTATATCAATCATTATAGTCACGTCATGCACTTATCGATGATTATTGTATTATGAGTAATATATGATCTTCGTATTATTACCTACGCTGGTGCTAACATGGTGAAACATTAGTGGGGTCATGATCCTACTGTTTTTATCCGGGTTTTAATACCACTTAATCAAATTAAAGTTGTCTATGGTTCTGTTTGTTTACCACTAAATGCTTCTCAATAAAGCAAACCACTAATTCAGTCAGTGGCACAAGTTGTTCGGGAATAAAATTGTCTCTAAGTTATGCGGGAAGCCTCTAATTCGGTCATTAACCTATGCATGGCAATATTATTCGGAGAAATTTATTTCTAAGATTACATTGTAGGTGCCGTTAACCATGTTCTTCACAGTCGATTTTCGTTACTACTCTGATCTTCCTTCTCATTTTTGGTTTTTTTGATATGTAGTTGTACAATAGATCATCTTTGTATTGATTTCATTCGTCTAGGTCTCTACTATTTCAGTCGCCAAGGTCAACCTCTTCCTATTATCTCCACTTAGACCCAATATAATCTATTAGGGTGCATTTGCTTCTCATAACAGGGTAGGACTTGATAGTACAAATTAAATTAAACCCTAAACCTTCAAAATTCTTTCACCCAGTTATCTTAGAGGTTGTTTGTCAGTTGTGAATGGTTTGGTGTAGAATGATTAAGTGGTCAGAATGATTAAGAGGCTCTCATGATATAATGTAAAATGAAATATAATTGTTTAATAGTTGTTTACAATGAAATTAGGGAGCTTAAGATTAAGAAAGAACCATGATACAAAATCATTAAAATAATTTTAGAACCATTAAGAAATAGACTTTCTTTTTTGTCAAACAAGATTCACCTCTTAACAATTCAAATATTGTCTTTTAATAAAACTATTAAGAAGTAAACACACAACCCCTTATTCTCACTTTTCCAATCCTATTGGCGTAGAAAAGACACCCAATAACACCGTCATGACCACTTATTGTTTGTGAATGATCATCTTTTAAAATTTTAAAGGTAATATGATATATCTCCTTTCAGTTGGTAAAATAATTAATTTATTTTTATGAATTCGTTTGATAATATATCATATTACTTACGATATTTTCAAAAAAAAAAAATCAAAAATTGATCATTTACAAACATATACATAAAGAATACTTGCATAGATTACATGTATACGTATATACAAATATAGAGTTATAGACTGTTTGACAGTTGCTGAATGGTTTGATGTAGAATGATTAAATGCTCAGAATGATTAAGAGGCTCTCATGATATAGTGCAAAATGAAATATAATTTTTTGGTAATTGTTTATAATGAAATTAAGGCGCTGAATGGTTAAGGGAGACATGTACAAGATACAAAATCATTCAAAGAGTTTTAGAACCATTAAGAGGCAGACTTTTTTTTTTTATAAACAAGATTCATCTATTAACGATTGAGATATTGCCTCTTAATAGAACTATTAAGAAGTAAACAAACAACCCCTTAATTTCAAACGAAAAAAGTAACCAAATAAAAATAAATAAAGAAATGAATATAAACCACAAAATTCCTTAAATAATGTCTTAAATAACACATTTTCAAAACTCCTTAAATAATGTCTTAAAATCATTTATTTATATGAGTTATTTAAGATTCCACTTTTACCATTTTTATGATTTATTTTTATTTAAAAATATTATTTTCTCTTTTAGACATTTAAGATAAGCATAATTTAATTTTCATTTAAATAATTTCTTTTTTTATTAAAGACATTATTTAAAAAAATTACAATTTTTATCAAAATCACATGTGATTCACAATTACTTGACTTTTTTCAAGATTTTTTCTCTAGTTATATATGTTTAAAGCGTGAAAATTAGCAATTCAAATTAGACATTAAAAAAGAAAAATAATGAAAACAGAATCACATGTGATGCATAGTATAACGTATTTAATATGTATAAGAGCACATGTGATTAAAAACATAATTCATAATTTACAAATATCACATGTAATGCTGTAGATACTTTACATATATTTTCCACTTAAAATTTACTATATATGATCAATATTACATATGATATTTTAACGAGAATTGATGATTTTTTTTTGAGAAAAACATTGATTAATTGTCGATATTACAGGAGATTTTTGACCAAAATTGTAAAAAACAAATCATAAATAGTACTTCAAGAAAAATGAAATATATTAAATTAAAAACCAAATCACGTTTATTTTAAATGTTATAAAAACAAAAAAAGTTAAATGAAAAATTAATCATGTTTAAATCACATAATTGTAAAAGAAAATCTTAAATAAATACCATAATTAAATACATTAAATAACACTTTATAGAAATAAATGAATTTCCATATATAATCCAAATGCAACAAATGACATATATATACCTTTTTAGGTGATTTTTAAGAAAGTTCTATTCAAGATATGATTCAAATAAATGATTCAGGAAAATATGGTGTCAATTCATAACGTTTTAAGTAAATCTTTTCAAATTCACTTATTTAATATTTTCAGATCATGTTTTTGGGAAAAAACCAGATTCAACTTATGAACCCGTTTTCAATCTTTTATAAGAAGATTGACCTGTGAATACAACAAATATATTCAGTATAACGAATGTATTTTATATATGAGACCTTTTAACGTTCATCTCACCAGAACTTTCATTCAATCATTGATAGTTTGAAAAGGCGTATCTATGAATAATAAGTTTTCTTAACAAATATTCAATAAATATAAACAAAGTACACAATGTTTTTGAGCTCTCAAAGATCTCACGCAATCTCTCAATGCTAGGATGTGTGTTAACTGAATTAAGGAACCTTAACTACCAGCCAACTAACAACCTATTTATACCTATGAATTACAAGGAAACAAACTAATTACAAAGATTTAAGACTTACACTATAAAGTATATTAAAACAGATTTAACACAAGGACTTGAATACAACATTTTTAGACTTAAAATTTCTTGTGACACATCATACATGCCACTAAGCTCTATAATTTCATAGTTTATTGTGTAAAACATATCAATACAACATTCAGACAGTTACTTACATAATGACTGTAAACTAATCATGAAAATAGTTATGCATAAATAAACACCACTTTCACATGAACCTGCTTGCAACATAGTTAACTCCTTGGAGATCTTATTTTCTCGCTGTATGTTGTGGACTTGTGGGTAAACGAGTCTCCTTCTAACGCGGCTTAGATGGACACGACGAAATGGCATGGGTCAAGGGGGTCGTGCCCCTTGTCGGGTCCAAGGGGTAGAGCCCCCAGCAGTTTGGGGCAGCGCCCCAAAAGCTCTTCAGAATTTTGGTATTCGGACTTGGTGCATGTCCAGAAGCAGAAACGTATCCGAACTTGGTGCACGTCCAGAGGTAGTTACCGTGCAGTTAATGCCAAGCGATGAGCTTAGCGAAACGGTTGTAGCTGTCCATTACTCCTAATAATGGACAGAGCAAGCGCAGGAGGCTCTATATACATACCTCCTGTTTAGTTATTTAATGATTTAAGGCATCTTTTCCACTTGGTGTCTGTAAGAGATTTATCTGCTAGTGATACAAAGTGGAGCAGCCAGCGAATGTATAACTGGAAAGAATAATCAGAATGAGTACTAAGTTATGAATGATGTGGATCTGTACAGAAGTAAATCTTGGATGTTATGTCATATGCAGTGTGCTTATTGAGGTGGGATATCCATGCATTTCTTGGTTCCTCCCTTTTACTGATTGTGGCACAGAGGGTTCACAATATCTCCGTTGTAGACGAGCCAACTACGAGTTCAAACAGCCTTCTTTGAGATTTATTTTCCTCTGTTCAAACAATAGGTTCACGTGTAATGGCATAATGCTACAAATATAGAACACGTTCACAATTCATTAGGTAGTTGATGGAAGAAAGGCACTATGGATTGGTCATGCTATAACGCATGCCCTATTTCAAGAAGGAAGATGCCATAGAGATAGAGCCTTTCATATATTAATCCGTCATCATTTTCTTGTTATTGACAAAAAAGGCGTATGTATAGCAGAGTTGCTGTTTGTATTTTTTTTTTTTCTGTTTCATATCAGAAAGCTTATTAGAATAGGTCAGTTACTCTCTTTTCATCTATAATCTCTAGAGCTGCTGGGTCCCCAAG